CTAATTATATTTTAGATTTTTTATATTTAAAATGAGATGTTTATACCTGTATTTGATTGTGTTTATCTGCAGTTAGTTACACGAATTCAGTTATGGGATGAAATCGGATAGGGATGAAATTGTTTAAGGATGAACGGGTTTAAGAGTTTTAAGAGTTTAAGAGTTTTTAAGAGTTTTAGCCAAATGCTTTATAATATAGTATAGATATATATATATATATATATACATCGGATCCAATTTGACTATAAACATGATTTTTATAAAGTTTATTAATCAGATTTTAGACACAACCCTAAAAATATTTCTACGTATTTTATCAGATGTATTTGTAATATCAAATAAAATGATTGAGGCTAAAAATCTCACTCATATTTATTGATAATGTAAATAGATAGATAAAACAAAAACATTTAGAAAGACAAATATAAAACATTAGAATTCATCATCTCACTAATCCATTTTATTTTGTTTTCCAAATTCTTTTTCTTTTCGGATTACATGTGCATGAAAATAACATATTTTTGCCAAAAAAAAAAAATATATATATATATATATATATATATATAAATTACTTGAAACATCCAAACTTTCATTAAGCTAGACATTATATAAACACATAAATTTAAGAATCAAGTGTTGTAAGTAGGGGCGAACCTATTAAGGATCGAGCTGGGTCTCGTACATCCACTCAGTTGATTACGGTAAAAGAAAAAATGTAGACGTTCTAAAGATGTCCTTAAATATTTTAAAACTGAACTTATAACTAGAATAAGCAGTTGCCGGGATGGGATGGTATGTCATGACAGAATAAAACCTCCTATTATAATGAGGTTGGGAGTTCAATTCTATCTATACACATTTATTTAACTCTTTTTTTCGTTAATATTTATATAGCCAATAACTCTTTTTTTAAAGTACAAATTGCATAAAAATGCAACTACTTTGTTTTCTTTCATATTTTAGATAACATAATTTGAAAACCTTCATTCATTTTGGTATCTAAGAAAATTTTCAAACATTTAAGTACCTCGAGTAACCGGTTCAACCCTTAACCGATTATCATGCTGACGTGGTTGATGACGTGGCATACAACTCAAAATTATTTGGTGATGTGACTATTGATATGAATTTTATTATATAAATAAATATAAAATTGTATTTTATTCTATCTCTTTAATTTCTATTAAATAATTTAAAAAATATTTTATATCTATATATACATATTGATATACATAAACACAATGGAGACTATGACCAAGCCTTTTCGGCCACCATTTTCGGTCAACGTCTCTTACCACCATCCCAAACCTCTACCTCCACCTCCACCTCCACCTCCACTATTGAGAGCTTCCAGAAATACATCAGCCTCTATTTCCGGCCATTGTCTTCAGTCATCGTCTCCTATCACCATTTGCAGACCATCTTCAACCTCTAACTCCATCCCTAACATCAAGAGCTTATGAAGTTCATCACTCTTGCATCCATCGTTCTGCTGCTATGTTAACATCGGGTGAGCCTGTCATGCAAATCCATCAGTAAGAGATTACGAGCGGAGATGGAGATGATAGCAGGAGATGGTGGACAACAAGGTATGGTTGTGGTCTCGGTGTCTTGTCGCACTTCGGTTGCTCATAATTCTAACCCAACTAAACTTCTTTTCTCATCCATGAGACACCACTGGGGTAAGGGTTAAACCGGTTACCCGAAGTACTTAAAGATTTGAAAATTTTCATTTTAGGTATAAAAATAAAGGTGTTATTCAAAATAGAAATTAGGACAAAGTAGGTTACATTTTTATGCATATTTGCCTTTTTTAAATAATATTTAATAGCACATTGAATACTCTGTTAATTTCATATATAATGTTGTTTGATCATTAACTTTTCCCATATATATAAGTTTTTCATCTTTCTTAGTTTGTATTTTCTAATTTGTTTTTAGTTTTTGATTTGATTATTGTTACTAAAAATTTTGGAAAGTGAAATAAGATACACAGTTGATTTTGATTTGCAAAACATTTTATTTAATACTAGGAGTTCTATATGCATAACGAAACGAAATTAAAAATCCAGAAAACAGAGGACAATCAATATCAAATAATAAAAATTGAAATATTTTATGAAATCAATCGAAAAAACAAAAAAGTCTCATGTAACGATGAAATTTAGTTAAAAACACGTCGGATATAAGACGTAGTCTTGTATTTTGCTCAAAAGGTCAAAGCCAATTCAAAATGAAAATGTATTATTTCCGAAATTGACTTCCCTCATGTGAAATCGCGTCGACTTTTCTCTCCGATCAAACCCACAACTTTACGGTACTTTGATTCACCTTAAAGATGCACCCACTCAAAAAAATTCTTCACTCATTCAAGATGTATCTGAGCTACTTCTCTCTTTCTTCAATGCTGCAATTTGAGAGATTCCAGCTGACAATCCTAGATTTCCTGAGTACATCTTCCTTAGCTTTCTTTCTCTCATTTTATTCTACCGGTTCTTACTCATCTTATCTTTTTCTTATAACATAAATACTCAAATGTAAAATATTTTTAGTTTATAAAAACCGATTTTCTTATTATTGTCATATAAACTAACATTGGTTCTTATCAAAAAAATTTAGTAACAATTTTTTTAAAAGATAGTGTTTTTAGTAAGGGTTAAATGCATGAAATAATAACATACTTTCATAAAATTTCTTATTATAGTATTCTATTTTGTTTTCTTTATTACAACAACGTATTTTCAAATTATTTTTTATTAATGCATCACACTTTAAAAAATCTACCCATTATAGCAATGAGTAACTTGTTACATTTTAAACCGGTTAACCCCTTGATTTTTTTACTTGTGTGGCTTTAATGAGATGATGTGGATGACACATCATTTTGATGACTTAATTAAAATAAAAATAAAAACCTATTTTAAATTTTTATTAGTGATTTTCATTACTATGATTTAATTTTTTTTTTAAATTTTTTCGACTTTTTTTTATTAAGTTGCATGCAAATTAAATATTATAAATATTCTAGAGTAAAATATTTTTTAAATAAGTATGCTACATTATTTTCGAGATATATTTTGTTTGTAAAAAAAATAACACTTCTTATTTTATATTGTTCAAAAAATTACATATATTTTAAAGTTCTTTCTGAAATGTTAACGAAATAAATTGTGTTCTACAATTTTTTAATATTATTATATTAATAAATAATTCAAAAAAATCTAATTAATTTAATATATTTATACGTCAAGTAAAAGTTTTTGAACAAATATAATATATTATTTAAAAGATCATACTTTTTTGGTAAAAAAAAAACAATTCTTATTTTCTTTTTTCAAAAAACACATATTTTAAAAAAAATATTAGCAAGATAAGTCGTCTTCTGCTAGTTTTATTGGTATATTAATGAATAATTTAGAATTTTTTGATTCATTTAATATATTTATTAAATAACATGTAAATTACCTAAATATTAAAATTAAAAATACATTGTTAATAATAACTAGTAGGTGCTATAATAAAATAATTTTGAAAGTACAATGTTATAATAAGAAGGTCACATTACTATAGTACATATAGACAATCTACGTGGATAATGAGCTGACATGAAAATCTGGTATAATGGATAAATTTAAATAAAAAAGTTATTCAATTCTATAATGGGTAAATTTTTTAAAGTATAATATTATATTAAAAAATAGTTTAAAAAAATATTGTTATAATAAAAAAATGAAAGTATAATATTATAATAAAAAATTTAGAAAAATATATTGCTATTTTGTGTAGACTTGGGATCATATGAGGCCAAGGTTTTTTCGTGAGACTCGTGAGACCCGTAAGACCAATTCTCATCCCTTGGATTAAATCTATAATCGTCAGATCTGAACATTCACAAATGTCACGAAACTTCTCAATAATCACAAAATTACCACCGTTCAATTTTAGACCATTAGATCATTAACTTATAAAGTTAATCAATGAACGTAAATTGGTCTTACAGGTCTCACGAAAAACTCTTGATCTAACGTGAACCCAACCCATTTTGTGTATTTTGCCTATCATTAAATTAAAAATTAAAAGGAAAAAAAGTAATTTTTTTTTTACTTTTTAAAATAATTGTATCCGGAATTTGAAAATGGATCGATGAACATAAGGAGATAGTTGCAACAGAGATATACCCCCAAGACTCCCCCCACCCTACGCGATTGCAGGTTCCTCTCTCTGTTTCTCTCTCTCTCTAACCCTTCAATCAATTAGCTCTTCGGAATCTGGGAACAAAGAAAATCCAGCAAATATTTCAAATTTTCTTGATTCCATTTTCGAATTCTAGGGTTTCGCTTTACAGATTTTGGGCTTCTTGAGGGGATCTCTAAGCTACGTTTCTGGCGCTGCAGATCTGGATTCAAACGATTTGAATCGAATTTAAGATGTTTTGGCGTATGACTGGGTTGTCCACCACGTCCCCGGTAAATCTTGGATTCTTTTTGATAAATTGGTTAGATGCTTTTAGATATCTTTAGATCCTGGTTTTGATTAGTTACTATTTAAGCTAATCATAAGTTTGTTTCTTCATTGGGTATGTTTGTTTGTTTGGTTGATGAGGAAAATGGGAGGAAATGAAATGAATTGGAAAAGGTGATATGAATTTTGATGTTGTCTAATTAAGGCTGTGTAGTAGTCTGAATTTTTGTTGTTTTCAAAGAGGCCTAGATGCTGGAAAGTGTATATTTGAAAAGTTGAGTTTCTTTTATGTCTTAGATTGAGTTTCCAGGGATCAGGTTTTTCTTTGGTTGTACATTTAGGAAGGAATCACATCAGTTTGTGTAAATGGTGAACCAATAGCTTCGTAACGAAACACTGTGTGATTATAGAGAAAAGCACCAAGTGGCAGATGGTCAATTGTTCACATCTGATACCAGTCCGTGTCTAAAACTATGTCATAGTTACACATGGAACATTCCGAACCTTTTGTGGTGCTTGATGATGGGTTTGGGGAAGTCAAAGGAAGTGTATATGATTGTCGACAACAAAGAAGTGGTTTGGTATGTGTAATTTTAAATATCTACATTGTGCGTGGTTATACCTTAGTGGTTGCCTTCCTACTCCATTATGTGTATTTAAACACGATAAAGAAATATATGTTAATGTAAGGTAACCTGAAAGACTTAAACCATAATTAAGACCAAAATACAATTTGGATGTTTCATGTACCCACATCATTTTATGTGTCATACAAGCCCGAAATAGTTGTTGCATGTTGCTGATAGGTAATCCAACTATCAACATACATATACCAGTACAGAAATAGCAGCAGCACCCAGCACCTTGCAGGCTGCAGCTGTGGAACACCCTTTTCAGCATAAAAGGAAGATCTTTACTGCATCAATTACTGGCACTCATTGTATCGTACATCTGTAGCATAATTCGTTTGGTTATCCTTCTTACTCTCACATTAGTTAGGTAACAAACTTCCTTGGCAATACTACACCATAGCAGTTCCTTCGCTGACATCCACTGCAGGGTAAACCACTGCCTCTCAGAGGATTAGAGCATGTGTAAAAATACATCGGTAGGGGAGCGTTCCATTTTCCTATTATGTGTTCAGCAAAATTGATCAATAGAAAAGGAGAAAACCGTATATGTCCATTTACAGGGACAATATTGATCAAACATAAATCACACTAAACAGCAGCCACCTTTCTTGTTTTCCTCATTGTTGTTCTGGTGGTCCAAAGCTGCTACATGTGTACCACACCTCTTTTAACTTCCCCTAACCTTTCGTCTCCTTTTCTTGATTTGTTTTTCTTTGGGACCCAATCTCTAATCAAATCAGTAAAATCAAGCTTTCTTGCACTTGTTTTCCTAACCCCTCCTAGCATAAATCAATACCATTTTTAATGATGTTCTCTTCCCTCGAAATTCCTTTCACCATTCCCACTCTAAATGGTATTCTTGTTGCTGTCTTTCATCTTATTCTCTTTCTTATTTTTCTTCCAAATGCTGGGCGTTTTCCTTCTGGATTTTCATTTTTTTGCTTATGTTTTCAACAAAGGCTTTTCCCATCATTGAGACACACAAACCCATGTGTTTGAGGTCTAACGCTGCTGGAAATTTCATTTTCTCTTTTGTAGATCATCCCGCCTCTTATTTTCTTATTGTGGTTTTCACTATTCTCTTCTGTGAATTACAGCTAGATCTTATGTTGAATCTCGTAACCTGTGCTCTTTCTTCTTTTTCTGACTTCTCATATTAGCCAGTGTCTTCCAGTTAGATCTTTCTCCCACTTATATATTATTGGATAAAAATGTGGAATATTACAACTAAGGGCAGCTCAGTTTTCTCATTGACTTGCGTTCTTTTCCCTTTCCAAGTTGTGAACTTCAAATTAAAACTCCTTTTTGAGATGTTTCTTTTTTGGATTGAACTAATCTTTTTTATCCCTATTTCTTCCATCTCAGGACGTTTTCTCGACTAAGTTTTTGATGAACTCAACTTGTTCTTTTCTGTTTCATCTTGTACCTGTGTTGTACATGCTTACTCCTATCTAATTCTTGAAATAACTGCTCTCCTGGCCATATTATTCTCTTTACTTTCAAAGTTTGCTGTAAAACTTTACCTCTGAATCCCATGTAAGTTTAATCGTTTATTTGTTCCACCAAATTTGTACTAGTGAACATGAAAGACGTAGCGACTCTTGTTAGTGGTTTAATTTTTTGTCAAGAACATAATTGTTCCCTCTTTTGAGGTGAATATCCAATGGTAAACGGATTTTTCAAAGTCTGTTTGGTAAAGTGCGGCAAGTTGGAACAAGGTTTGATGGAAAGTGGGCAACAAAGAATAATGAATTTAGTAAGATCTTATTATTGAATAAAGATCCATTAAAGGTTTCTGTTTCAGTTACGATGCAACATGTAACCCTTTTATAGGTTTGCAGGACTAAAATGGGGCACCGTTTCTGCACTATTACTTGTAGATCACGCATTACATATCTATACATACCTAGAGAGCATGATAGCAGGTAGAAGACTAGTCTCTGAGTGGACTGAAGAGTTGGAGCCTCCTTTAAGAGGGTAGACTGCTTTAGGAGGGTAGACTGGTGACTTGTTTAGGATGCATGTTTTTGGGGCCTATGCCTAGGATGCAAGAGTTGGTTGAGTGAATGGTTTCAGGGACCGAGAGGATTAACCTTAAGTGATAATGGGTGCATATATTTTTTCTTTTACTCTTTATGGCATTGATTTTAGTGGTGTAATGGGAGGTTTTTGTCTTTTTGAAGTATTTGGCATCAAACTTCCTTTTTAATAGACAACACAACTTAACCTCCTCTGGTGTGAAAGGTCTTGATTTGCTACATTATAATACATTTATAAAAAGGCTCCACTATCGTAGACAGGTCTGCAGTATGTGAGGTCCAAAACTCAAGAAACATATCCATTTTAAATAATGCTCAATGGTCTATACAATTTTTTTGCTTCTTTTAAGTGCCTATATGGCTAGATTTATTCAGTTTACTTGTAAAAACGTGACCTTAGATTTTAGGTAGTTGCTTTACCACATGATGGGCGAGTGATCATAGTAACATGCAGAGGGAGCCTGGTTTTATAAGGTGCTGTTTGATTTATTGGAATTACCTATTATTCACCACTTCTGTTTTACCAAATAAGAGGTTAGGGTATAAGACATTAAGGCTGTTTTTTTGTTGTGATAAGAGCTTAAAAGCCTCTTTCTGTTCTAAGGGTGTGTTTGGTACATTGGATAGGACATAACAGAACAGAACATGGATCTTTGTTCCACGTTTGGCAGGACTTTTATATGGAACAGACAGGAACAGGGTGGAACAAGGTAGAACATACTTATATTTTACCAATATAACCTCAAAATAGAACTTAATTCTCTTCTAAAACATCAAATAGGTCTCCTTATTACATTATATTTGTTCTTTAAATTTTAGTTATTGTATTTTATGTTTTTTAAATATTTAATTTTAATGTCCTCAAAATATTATTTTTATACGGTTTCTATATTTTTATTAATTTACGTAATTTATTATATATTAATAATAAAAAATAATGTAGAAAAGAGTTATTATATATTAATAATAAAAAATAATGTAGAAAAGGGATAAAATAAAGATTGGAAACTACATAAACTTTTTATTTTGGTGTCATTTTAATTGTTTTGACAAAAACTTTCTAATGATATATTTTGTTATAAAAATAATTATTTTATCATAATTTAATAAATTACATAAATTAATCAAAATATATAAACAATTAATTGGCGGTAACTTGATCATTTTACTTGTTCTGTTATAACCAATTCTATCTTACCAAACGCTGAAGAACTAGTTGTTCTGTCCTGTTATGTTCTGTCCTATCCTGTCTGGACACCAAACACACCCTTATCGGACTAGAGGTTAACCCACCTCTTACCCTCCTCTTATTGGACTGCTGATGTTAGTTTAATAAACAACTCAAATCTGCTGCACTATGGGTTGAACTTGTGACCTTTCACATCTGAATGTAATGTTCTAGCCACTTTGCTGCTGCATCTCTTGGGTTGAACTCGTGACCTCACATTTTATTTATTGTTTTCAGATAAATATTATCTTTCTGATTCTTGATAATTAGTGTTTTCAGATAATTTATTAAATTCAGATAATAATTCTGGATAATTGTTTTACAAATTATGCGTGAAATGGGATTCTTTTTATATAAATCCAACATTATTATATTCTGAGGGGTCAATAGACGATTACACACATTCAGACATTCACAGTAACACAAATAATCTAAGAGATTCTGCTTTCAGACTTCAACACCGCCTCTTTTCAATAAGAAGTGAAGTAGGATTTAGAGTTCAGCACCTCTTGAAAAACAAACATCACTTAAATGAAGTCAATTTCAGAGGTTATGCCATACACATGGAAAAGAATAGATTGAGTTCATATAATACATTACCTCTATGTAAGGGTAAGATCTGGGTATATACTTGATTATTAGCTTTTATATTTGTGAACGTCTAGATATCCTTTGGCACCTGCTGGATTTTCTTGAATCATGCTGATTAATATATTCGGTATAATTAATAATACCTGGTATGCATCTAGTGAATTCTGTGATTATGTAGATACCTTAATTGTTTTTGTTCCTGTCATGGGTATTGAAAGAGCCTGGTATGGTTTAATTTTTCGCAAGGAAAGGTAAAGAAGGATGTGAATGCCGTATTATGTTCCTTACTTGTGAATTGTGATCAAAATCATTAATCTATGATAAGATTTTGATGCCAATCACTTTGTCTTTGAATGGTCATGGATCATACTCACATTTTATCGATCCAGGTGGATACAATTTTGGACAAGGAAAATTTTACACTAGAGGAGCTTCTAGACGAGGACGAAATAATCCAAGAATGCAAAGCTCTTAATAACCGGCTTATTAATTTGTAAGTCGCATCTAAATTTGACTCCATGGTGTCTTGTAGCATCTAGTGTTCACTTGTACTGTTATGACTCTTTATAATATAGTTCATATGCTTAAATCTCGCGTTAGTTGCTTCTTGTTTTGTTTAAGCTACCTTTATCTATTTTGGTACATGTTGGGCTTTGTATGTTACATGGCAGACAGCTTTCTGCTTTCGCATAGTGGGTAGTGAGATTTGAGTCTTCATTTAATAAGACAACCTCTTAATTGGCTTTCATATGTGCATATTAGTTGCTCTTGGTGCAGATATAGACAGTTGCATACATTCAGATATGTATTGGCTTACAAAAACAAACAGTCTAATTGATTCTACTTTCAGATTTCAGCACCACCTCTTATCAACAAGAAGTGAAATAAGACTTCAGACCCTTCAGCAATTCTTAAAAAATAAACGGCACCTAACTGGAGCCACGCAGTTCAGCAACCTTTAAGTTCTTAATAGCCTATGTGGGGATTAAGCGAAAGCATAAGGGTTTATTAAAATATATAATATACTTACTGTAAAACGTGTAAACAAATGATGGTTGAAATTTTGATGCTATATTGTTTTGATGCAATTACTTTTTCTAAGTGACTAGTTTCATTTTTCCACTGATATAATCACTAAAGTTAGATGGAAAGACTGCCTCCAAGTTGAGAAAATCAATTAAGGCATGCTGAATTGTTAAGACACTTGCTTCAATGATAATGGCTAATCGGAGCGGTGGGGAATGCTTAACCCTAGGTGGTCCATTAGACAGCCATATCTAGTTCAAGCGGTTGGGGGACACTTAACATCTTGGTGACAGATTAAATGGTGCTAGACAGGGAGTTTTAAAACACTCCTTATGGGTTACTGAATGTACCAGTACATGATCTAATGGTGCCTCTTGTTCATAGTTTTTTTATGGTAGTCGATAACTTGGTTTCTAATTCTAATATGCTTTAGTCATTTGCAGTTAATTACCATTTCTTCAGTTCGTAACATGTAGAATTTAATTTAACTATTGATTGCAGTTTGAGGGAAAGGACTCAGGTTGAACAACTTGTTCGGTACATAGTGGAAGAATCTCCTGAAGATGCTGAAAAAGGGAGAACTTTCAAGTATGTTTCTGTGCGCAATCATGTAGAATATTTTTCAAATGCTTGCATCCAAGTGGATTCTGATCTACCTGTGTTCTCGTTGTATTTCCATGCTTATAAGCACCAACCATCAGATAATACGTATTATTATGTTCCAGGTTCCCTTTTATTGCTTGTGAGATCTTTACTTGTGAAGTTGATATCATCCTCAAAGCATTAGTTGAGGATGAGGAGGTATGGAATGATTGATTCTTTTATTGGTTATTGAGTTGAAAATCAGAAGTGTTTTTAGTCTTGTTTGACTGTGATTGCCTAGTGGAATAAGTTTTTCGTATATTGTTGCAGTTGATGAACTTGTTGTTCTCCTTCCTTGAACCAGAACACCCTCATAGTGCTCTACTGGCTGGTTATTTTAGTAAAGTAAGTTAACTCCAATTGTCGTTTTGATTTTTCCTTATGGTACATTGATATGTTATTTTGATGGAGATTTATACTTCACCTGTTCAGGTTTTATGTTCCCTTCTCAAATATCAATGTGTTTTAAATTTATTGTCGGGATGGCTGATGTTTTGTTTTCATTCTATAGGTTGTTGTATGCCTCTTGTTGCGGAAGACGGTTCCCTTAATGAACTATATTCAAGTAAGTTGCCAATTAATTTGGATCATTAGGTAAATTAACTTTTTTGTTCTTTGGTCAACATCTAAAGGTTGTGCCATGTCTTCATGGAAACAGTCTCTCTACCCCTCAGGTAAAGGTAGAGATCTGCATACATCCTACCCTCCCCAGACTATACTCTGTGTGGGATTCACTGGTTTGGTTTAGTTCTATCTAAAGGTTGTGTCATGATGGATTTCATGTTCTCAACATTCCTGTCATACATATACTGCACCTTTTGATTTCATTAACTTCTTTTGCTTGCCACATCACTCTTGTATATGCATGTTTTTTGCTCTCCTTTTTATCAATGGAACTTGGGGGAGGCTTCATTTTGGTTGAACTTTGAAGTCTATATGAGTATATATACCGTGTATCCTATTTTCTTTCACTCAAATCTCTAAGTTATTTATGATTTGGTGGTCAGGCCCATCAGGATATTATCAAAAAGCTGGTTGACCTTATAGGAATTACATCCATCATGGAGGTGAATTCTCGAAAATCACTATTTGTTACTACTGCATCTGTATCTGCATCCCTTCTAAATTTTATTCTTGTAACAGGTTCTTATTCGTCTGATTGGTGCTGATGAACATCTTTATACAAGCTATGTAGATTCAATGCAGTGGCTAGAAGAGACAGATGTATTGGAGATGATTGTTGACAAGTTCAGTTCTACGGTATGTTGTATTTTGATAAGCCACCAACAGTCAAGGTGTATTCTCTAGGCAATTTGGAATTATGAACTACTATATTAATTTTACAATTCAATTGTTCTGTTGAAGGATTGTCCTGAAGTGCATGGCAATGCAGCAGAATCACTTTGTGCTATAACTAGATACGCTCCCCCAGGGCTGGCTACTAAAATATCAAGCCCGAGGTTAGCATTTATATTTATACTTTTGAAGGAGAGAAGGGGGGGGGGGTTAGCATCTATATTTTTTTGTCTCACTTAATGAACAAGTGAACAATTATATATATATATATATATATATATATATATATATGATTTTGCAGCTTCATAACAAGATTATTTCGTCATGCTTTGGAGGACTCACGGCCAAAATCAGTTCTAGTTCATTCATTGTCTGTCTGCATATCTTTGCTGGATCCTAAGAGGCTAACCTCAGGGACATATTACATTTACAACCGGCAGTCGACTCATGGATCTGTAGTAACAGCCAAACCTGAGACTGTGGAAGGCATGTTGGAGAGCCTAGGTATTGGTTATCTCGTTATGTATTTGTTGTAATTTATAGCCTTCAGTTGTGAGTTATGACATCAGAATTGAATCAAACACAAATGCATACACCAGATATATGTGGTTAGAATATTCAAACAGTCGTCAGTTTTTACAGTGAATTGGAATGAAATATCCCTACATTTGTGATTGTTGCTACAAGGTGCTACTTTGCTACATTTGGCATATTTTCTTCTGTACCTTGTCCCCTAAGTTGATAAAGTAGTTCACTTTTTTTCTTACTGTGTAAGTGATTTCTGCTGTACTCTCTTTTACTTTACTGAAACTATAAATAGAATTCCATTTCCATAAATTTCTAGTGTCGGCCTTGTGATTTTTTGCTACATTTGTTTGCATGTGCATGTTATTATTACATAGTGTTAGGAAATTATAAGCTAATTTCTTGTGAGGTTTTGACTGAAGTATTGAGAATTGGGCCTTTAAATGTACAGGAAATTTGTTAAAGCTCTTGGATGTTTCATCAGAAGAGAATGTTCTATTTACAACATATGGCAAGTTGCAGCCACCTCTTGGGAAACACCGCTTAAAGGTTATATTTGTACTTTAACTTTAGTCCTCAGTCATCAGTAATTATGATTTGCTCACTATGTGATTGATTAGGTATATGTTCTAGTAAAAAAACAAGTAAAATAATGATTCAAAAGTGGCATGCAACTTTGTAGGAATTAGCCAGCAGTGGCAACTTGATATTATTGTACCTTGAAGCTATTTATCTCTTTCTTGATTTTCTCTGTTGTAAATGCAATCATGCATTTGAAATAACTTATTGCAACTCAACAATGGAAAATTTCAGATCATTGAATTCATCTCGGTCCTAATGACTGTTAGTAGCGAAGCTGCTGAGAAGGAGTTGATCCGCCTTGGTGCCTTAAGACGTATTATAGAATTATTTTTTGAGTAAGTGCTCTCCACTTAGCCATTTAATCTCCAGAATTGTTCTATGGAAAGGATATATATATACATATATATATATATAAATATATATATATACATATATATATATATAAATATATATATATACATATATATATATATAAATATATATATATAAATATATTAACCAAACTTTGTTTTGATGGCTATAGGTATCCATACAATAACTTCATTCATCACCACATTGAACAGATAATAGATTCTTGCCTTGAGAGCAAGAATGCTTCACTCATTGTGCATATTCTTGAAGATTGTCATCTTGTCAGGAAAATTCTTGATGCTGAGAAGAATTGTGCATTGGAGGCCGATCCAAAGAATGTAATGATCAACTATCTGAAACTATCAAGATTATTGTTCTGTTGTGGGGGTTCATGGGTTCACTTCTGCATATGGTGGTCTGGTACCACAGCCCTAACATTAAATCACGTGGGAGGAAAATAACTGTTAAAGACATGTTGAGCGCACATCTAACTGTTGACCCCAGGGGTCAACAACAGACAAGGCCTAGGTGTGGTTTCTATATCGATTGTAGAGATTATATACAATGGAGGCAAAGAGCTGAAGAGATGGAAAATAAGATACGATAAGAGAAGATGGGAAATAAAGACCTAGTTAACATACAAATGGTGGGGAAGTGAGAAAACCATATTATTATATTTGAATAATTGATCTGCTCATTTCTAATAGGGTTAGAGTATATAGATTAGGCCTTTCTTGTTTCCTTCTTTCTTACTATCGTGCTTTATTTTCTTAAAATTGAAACCATACTAACAAGCACTGAAATTGCAGAATGATGTTTGATATTCCCCCATCTTTCTTGTAAATAGCAGTGGATACTTGCATAACAAGAATACAACATTCAACATTTCTTTTTTCTTTCTTGTGCCTAGAATTTGTAGGGCATTTTGTGTGTCGGTGCAGCTTATGCCTTAAACAACCATGGGGAAGGGCTACATCATACTTCTGTTATCTTTTTCTGTTAACTCTTTATGATGCTTGAAGGAAATATTGTTGGTCCATAGTTAATTGAATTCAGTGTATACATATTGCAGCCAACGATCCCTGCTGAAGGAAGAACCCTGCCAAGGATAGGAAATGTTGGACACATGACACGTATTGCAAACAAACTTGTTGAACAGGGGACTCATAACAGCTACATTGAGTCATATTTGCAGGTTTTTTATATTAATATTTTTGAAGTATTTCTTAACATGCTTGCTTTATAATTCAAATGATTCCATATAGGTAGTTGTTTTTTATTCCATATAGGTAGTTGTTTTAGATGAATCATATTCATATTAATTTCTTATTGCTGATCTTGGAATTTTGGTGTCTGCTATGAGTTACTATTCTGAATTATTACAAGTTTTTCTTTTGTACTATGGTACGAAACAGAATGTTATCTGCTTGAGATGGTTCTCTGTATAACTTCTTTTTTGTGAGCGTGTCTTTATCTGATGGCATGTTACTTTTTGACAGGGTAATAATGAATGGGTAGAGTGGCATGCAGATGTACTTACTAAACGCAACGCGCTTGAAAATGTCTACCAATGGGCGTGTGGGTGGGTATTTCATGAACCTATTATTTTTGTGTGACTCTGACATCATGTATACATCGGTTTTTGGCTGATACATATGCTGGAATACACCATAAGTTCCATTCGTGTTTAGAAGCTTTGTTGCTTGATTGTTCAATTATGCCTTTTGGAAATGTTTGTATGGTATGTATCTAATTCCATTGGGGTTAAGAGGAATGTTGAATAATAATGGGCATATTGCCCTATTATTTTGCTATGCATGCAACTTTCATACTGGATAGACCAAAACAGGTTTGTATTTGTTGGGTATTCTAGGTCACAAAAGGATTCACGGTGCCATAGAATTAGCCTCTGGAAATATTTTGCTTCAGATAATGTTACTTTCTCGAAATCCGGTCTCTTCTTCTAGTTCTGTCCAGTTGGGTTGAGTCACATGAGTCACATTGACTTGTTGTCTTGATTTTGAGTTTCCTGAAGTTCTTATTGACCTTACTTTGCTGCTGCATCTGATCCACCATATTTGGTGACTCCAAATGCTCCATGTCTAGTATATTATAGGAAAAACAGACATTGATATAACTCTTGCGCTTCTGATACAAGTTGTGCGCTTCTCCACTGTTACATATTTCATCCTCTGATGAACCACATTTACTCTTCTACCTATGATGCCACCTTACATGAGACGGTGAGATACTTGATATTCCCATTGTCAAGGAAAAGTGTATGGTGAGCCTTTGAAAGGCTTGGTTATCTTATTTCTTGTCCTGTTGTTTGTTCTAGTTATATCTTGTAATCATCATGACTTCATTTCAGTTCTCTTTGGTTATTGTTATCCCCAAAATGTTTGAGCCTTGGCTAATTGAGGGTGGAGACTGACTGTGCATAAAGAATGTCTGCTCTTAAATTGAGTGGGTTGTGAGACCTTGCTGATATTCATTTTAGGAATGATTTTGTTTGTGCAAGCGGGTCACTATATTGAAGCTTTAGGTAGGATTCTGTTGCATAAGTGGGTGTGTATACCGCTAAATGATGATGGATTTCACACTAGACTCTTAAGTGCAATTGGTAGCTAAAGGTTACTCTTAGACAGCTCGATGTTTTCTACTTATGAAGAATATCTGTTGGTAACTCCTGATGTTCTCATTTCTAAAAACACTTTATTTCTTGTTTAACTTCTTTTGTGGTCATCATCACATTCATGTTGTTGTATCCAAAAATATCAACTGAAATATTTTTCTAGAAACTCTTACTAAACTTATTATTTAGCCGCTCCCACCTCATGTTCCAATCACTTTTGGCCTACCCTCCTTTCTGGTCAAAATCGACCTGATCAGTTTGCCCCTAGCTTTCCAGCAACATATCAAGTTAGCATGACCGACTTCATGGAAACTGGTCAAATTGGTTTCCTGCCAGAAATTAGAGATCGGTGGGAGAAAAGTGGTGAGGCATAAAGTACAATAGTCAAATAAATAATTTTAGTGGTAGAGTGTCCTAATAATATTCTACTTCATACCAAATAAAATATTTTAGTTGCAGAGTGACCTAATAATCTTTTACTTCATAGTGCAGTCGCCAAAGAGATTGGTTTCTTTAGCTGAAGTTAGGTTGTTCATGGTATTGAATTGATCTTAGCAACTTTGGGTGTTCTAGCTGGCAGAAACTGTTTTGTCTTAATTGTTTTCTTATAGGATTCTACTGGTGACTAAAACTATTTTTAGTTTTGTGTCTGTCGAAATTAAAGATCGAACAAGTATTCTTTGGGGTATGTCAGTGAACCTGATAATGACAGTAATAATGGCTGTGATTGGCTTTAGTGTCTTTATTTTATGAGTTCTATCGGAGAAATACAAGTTTTTGGATTGCAGTGCATCATTTTGTTTGGTTGCTTATTGATTGATAATTGTATCTTTATCCAACCAAATTAACAGGAGACCTACTACACTTCATGATCGTGGTAGAGATAGTGATGAGGATGATTACCAAGATAGAGACTATGATGTGGCAGCTCTGGCCAATAATTTAAGCCAAGCATTTCGATATGGTATCTATGAAAATGATGATAATGATGAGGTATAACATAAATTAGTCATGCTGTTACTTTCTTATGTCTTTTCTTTATCTTCATTTATTATTTACAGACCAATAAGGAATTGATTTAAGAGAGATGAACTCTCCTATGGCAAGTAAACGTCATGATGACAGCCATCTCAAAAAGGAGAAACAGAAAACACCACAACATTAACAGGATCACAGACCTTATAGCATTTTTATTGAAGTACGATGATCCATTGAGTGGACCTACATTGGCTTGTGAGTGGAGAGTCATCTCCCTTGGGCCCTAGTCCTTATGTCCGATGCCTACCTCAAATACTACGTTAGATATCTATCAATATATATATATATATATATAAGTGTGTGTGTGTATGTGTGTGTGTGTGTGTGAAAAGAGGTAATTAGTCTATTAATTATGGAAATGATGGTTCAGTACGACTTTAAAGGATCTGATAATAGGCTTGGACTCGTTCTCTTACTCTTCTTTTCCTGCTTTTATCTAATCTAAAACATATACTTTTCACACATGAACTTGCTTATTGTAGGGTTCTTATGTGTATTCTACCGGTTTTATTGGTTATCTGGAATTAATACTTTATTTTACTTTCTGCTGTATCCAGGCTCATGGTTCACTGGAAAGAGATGATGAGGTACGTGTATGAGTAAGCCTTGTCAGTGTATGGTATTATGCTCGGACCTAGGAAAAAATAATAATAATCATGGCATGATGTAAGAATGACCATCCTGAAAATGAGCCATGCCTCGTCGGATGATGTCATTTTCAAACTTTAAAGCAATTTTTTTTTAAGAACTTTAAAACTAAATAATAGATGGAAATGAATCACAATAGATCACAATCACATAACATCAATTTTAGAGTGAAGAATAAGATGAGTTACTACTTCAAGCCGAGATGATATATAATTGTTTTGACAAACATGACTTGCATAAGTTGCTTTCTTTTAGTTTTCTTGTATTACTTGCGGAAGTTGGAGCCTCTTGTTTGAAAAAAAGATCATATTATAAACTAATATCTTTTTCTTTTTAAAATTAGTTAATGAATTTCTAATTTCCAAATGTTATTCACTACCTCAGTGTTTCTTATAAAAGAATGAGAGAACAGAGGGGAAAGATGAGACAGTTGACATTCATGCAACAAAGATAGGAACTACAAAAATCTAGAGAAAAGAACTAGAACCAAGAGAAATTATATAAAATAGACGATAAGAGAAGCATCCAAGTTGATTTATGAAAGATGAAAGAAGTCTCTGATAAGTGATATCTAGTCTAGCAGCCATTTTGGTATTCCACTTGGATTGGGGACCCACTACCTCCTGTTAAGACACTTGTAGTCTGATCTGTAGTTTTGTGAAGCGGGAGTGGTGGCCTTCTGTTTTTTGATCAAAAAGTAGTGTTTTCCCGTGTTTTTAGGCCATAAACTAGAGAGTTAGGTTAAAGGTAAGCCGGCTAAGAGGACTAGGAGCTTAGCTTGCTGGCGAGAAAGGGTGAGTGTTCAGTACGCTCTTTAGCCTTTAACAGGGGCTAAGCCGCTAGGAATGGCTTGCTGGCCTGTTGGGAGAGTGGAACGAAGTGATTCTCGTTAGAGAAGCACGAGTGGAACGGCTTTAGTGTCAGTAGGTGCCTAAATGAAGCGATTAAGCGTCGGGGCTTTGCTGGCTTGCTGGCTAGCTCGTGCAATCAATGAGTCCTGTGTTCAATGTAGTTTTGGGTATTATGATATTAGCTTGGAAAAAATTCGCACAAAGTTTTGAAGAAATAATAGAACAGAAGAGGCCGCATACAAATCAAATCAAATAAATAAAAATTCATTAAAACATGCAATTTTGATACACTGCTATAATGCAGCCATTTCACAAGAGAATCTTCAAATATGGATATTTTGATGACCCATAATTATGGTGCATGCATTAACTACAATGTAAGAAGACACTTTAAGAGAAGAGAACAGAAAAAGGAGTCCAATTCTAAAACATAACTTTAGGTAGATCTTACTTGTTCCATATTTGCAAAATAATTACTTGGATATAATATTTCCGAGATGAAGGCATTCCATATATGTTTCATGAGAGGTTTTTCTTAGGCTTTCAATAACCTAATACTGACTATGAATGTTCATAATATGTTATTTTGTTTTTCATCTTAAATCTTCTATCTTTTTGGTTGATGATTAAGTAACTAAGGGCCCGTTTACTTACCTCTTATCACCTCTTATTCGGTAAGAGACTCTTGCTCTAATAAGTGATGGGATGTTTCCAAAAAAAAAAATGTGTGAAGTGCTGACCATCCTCTTTCTGGAGTCAGCAATAGAAATCAATATCTGACCATAGTCAGAGATGGTTTTCATTATTACCCTTGTTAAGAAATATGTGAGGCCATTTCATTTTGCTCCACTATGATTATGTGAGAGCCATTTTCCTTTTTAGGAAATTTTCATTTACCCCATATTGATATAGACACCATCATACATAATCCTTGTACTTCTATTTTATTAGACAATAAGCCATTATATGTGGTATTTTATTAACAGAAGTCGTTTATTATTTTGAATTTAATCATAATTCTTTCTTAGTTCATCTTATTTTATATTTAGAGTTTTAGAAGTGTAAATTTTATAGTAAACAATTACTCTAAACTGAGGGGCATAACTGTCATTTTTACTTGGTCCGTGCTTGTTATAAATAATTGGTAAACAACAATTTCCAGTCAGCACTTGCCCACAAATTTTGGTAAATGGCCTCTAAGTCATGCTGATAAGTTGTCATTAATGCCATTGTAATTGTCTTCCTCCTCTGCTTTTTTCTTGCTCCAGCAACTAGGCCTCATTAGTCAACCAAGAACTATAAATCATTTGAATATTAGCATTTAATGTAAGTCAGCAATTCCATGAAAGGTCACATAAGTGGTTGAATTGATCATTAATCTTAGTATCGTGGTTGATTCATCAGATTGTTCATGTTCTGATCGTATATCAATGTCTAACCATTTTCTTTGGTTGAATTGAGAAAATATCAGACTCTACTCCCTTAAGCCTGTAAGATCTAGACCATCCTTGTGGTTTAGCATCCTAAGGAAATCATGTAACAGGGTTACCCAATAATCTTTGAATCAACTTAAGACCATTGTGAAAGTTATTGGTAGTCCACAACTTTGAGCTTATAAGGAGCTCACAAATCTAATTTTCTGTTCACGTGGGACGGGTTGTTACAAATCACATCCTATTTTACCATAGGACTATGTGGGAATGAAACGTCACTTGCATATGATATACATATCATCAAAGCTACACTTAAGTTGGTATATCAAGCGGGGTTTGAAGGAAATTTGGTTTTTTGTTTCTTTTTTCATGTTAAAATTTATCTAGCAGTGAAAATTTATATGCTCTCGAATCGGTAGAGATTGATGGACCACTTATTTATTGGACTTTTAAAAGTCTTGTATGCTAAGCTATATAGATGAAATCTTATCAAACCCAACTTGAAGAACTCACATCCCCACTCCAAATAAAGGAACAATGAAAGATAAAACAATTGCTTGCTAGTGTACCTTTATTTTTTCCGATGATATGAACATTTTTTTAATGGGGCTATCCTTGAATTTCAAGCTTTATAATTCCTAGAAGTTTGTTTAAAATGGATGTCTAAACTTTTGCAGGATGTTTACTTTGATGATGAATCTGCTGAAGTAGTGATATCTTCACTTCGATTGGGAGAGGACCAAGAAAGGTGTGTTATTTTTTCTTGTCATATTGGTGATTAGACTTCATAATCTTATATGTCGGTTCAGTTTACGGAATAAATTGAAATTTAAAATTCAAAAAAGAATTGGTATAGCATATACAACTGACATGGTTGGATCGTTCAAGTTGGAAGATATTGTAGCTAGCATAAATAAATAAATCTACATTTTTAGTATTGGAGTCCTGTGTCAAGTTTCAATCTTGAGTAGGAGTACCCCTGAAGAACAAAGATATTTTCTATCTATTTGTGCAAGCTTGAGCTGATTTAAAGTTTAATTTTTTGAATATACCCCCTCTCAAAATAAATGTCCATAATGAAAAAGGCACACAGTTTTAGGAATGTGTAATCGTTAAATATTTAATCAACTAAATGACAATTTCACCCTTAACTAGAAGAGGGAATAATGAAGTTCTCCCATCTCGTAATTAAGGGTAGAATTGGAAAGTAACCACTTGCTTTTGTAAATAGACACTTATTTTGAAACAAACTAAAACAGAAACATAGACACTTGTTTTGGGGATGGAGGGAGTACTATATTATTATTTTAGGTTTGGCACAATATGTTGCCTATCTGTGATTCTGAAATGTTTCAGATGGTGGGAATTGATATTGATTTCACACAAATTTGTTTCTGCTGAATTTTGTGTTTCAGTGGGTCCCTTTTCACAAATTCGAATTGGTTTGCGTTCGAGGAGGAGAGGGTGGTTCATGAGCGGTCAACTGATGCGGTAGCTTCACCCTCGCCCAACACTGAGGGTACTGCTGGCGGCAGTGCTGTCGGTGATGATGAGGCCACGTCCAACGAAAATGACAAAAACTTGGTCGATACTGCAACATCTGAGGTCCCCGATTCAAAACCGGGCCCCGATGATACTACTTTCGGGAAGTCGGCTGATTTCTCTAGACCAAATGAGAGCGATAAGCCACCGGAATGGATCGAATGGCGGGAATCAGTCGAATCATCCACCGAACCAGCCGTTGAACAATCATTTACGACTGCAGAGTCTGCTGAAACATCTCAGGCTGCAACAGGTAGCCTTCCGAATGGTAATCTTGAAGTCAATCCACAGGCTGATATTGCTAATGATGTTCCGAACAAAGGGGAGTCTGCTCCGCCGTCTGCCGCCACCGACAAATCGGAGGCCGAGGATGACAATGGCGGCAAGAGCACTGTTGGAGTAGGCCCACCAGAGTAAAGGCTTGCGAGTCCACAACCTCACGRCACTGATGACAAGTTGGATCGTTGACGTTTCTTGATCGGAGAAGATGTCTCGGGTCCCGCCCGACGCGAAGTGGCAAAATGTATTTTGAAGTGCAGTTCGGTTTAGTTCAGTTCTTCAAAGATCTTAGCGTTATTCTGCTCGTAGGACAGGCAAAAATGTGACTTTTTTGTATATTTCAGACTAATCATGTACATTATTGATGGCTGGGGTTACTGTYGGAAATAGGGATAATGATTCTTTCCYGTTGCCATCAGTTTACGGAATCYGGTGACCGRAAAATGGTTCCGATGGYGGGGTTCTCTCGTTTGAAGATTCTCTTACAAAATGGCTGTATGTTAATGATTCTTGTGCTCCTCTTAATGTCTAAAATTTCATTAATTAATGATAAAAATAAGTTAAGTCTTGTTGATTAGACAATGTGAAGATTTTGTTTTTGGCATTGATGTATGATTAATGGTTGGTTTTGTTTATATTTATTTTATCTGTCTTTTTTAATCGAGTTTATTTTTCTTTGGGTTTGAATCCAGACGTTGTTAAAGCCCCTGTAATGATGAAAAAGTTTACCTGCAAGGACTTTAAGCCATTTATGGTGGTTCACCTTTGACAGATATCCATTGCTTGAATAACCGGTCATGTAGTGATTGATTGCTCATGAGTCATGACCCATCTTTTGAACATGTTCTGATACGTATAATGTCCAACGAGATGTTGCTTCTTGTTTCTTATGGTGATACGTATAGGTCATGATTCATGGGATCTTGAATAGAATCGTTAGTATAATAGGTCTTGAAATCCTTCTAAAACCCCATGTACTTGAACCAAGTAAAAAACCAAACCAAACCAAACGGGATACAAATTTTGAAAATCAATATCAAAGTAGGCAGAGGCAGAACACAAAAGGACTGGATCAACAATAGTCAAGGGGCCAAAAAGAATTTTATATCTAAAACCTTAATGGACCGAAGATGCTTCACTCTATCTATAAAAAAAAGCCAGGGGCCTGTGGCCATCCGTTCCTGAAAGTAGAAGAACCAGGCCTGATTAAAATTTCGTAACGGAAAGAAAACCACAAAGAGTAAAGGCTTTTAAGCCCATTTTTCCACCCGACTAAGTTTAACTTTACTATAATTGATCTTTTGGAGAAATGTTATGTTCTATTATATAATAGAATAGGTATCAATGAGAATGACTTGATAAAACTCTCTTGTTTCTCTATCATCAAATGACAATTTCAGATATGTCTCAATGTTCAAGGAATTTGACAATCTATTCATATATTAAGAATTGTTTGTGATAAGAAATCTGGAAGATAATCATTTTCACCTTTTATAAACTCGATTTCAAAATCAAAAACATCTGTTTAGAAATTAAAATTTTAGTCATCCTTTCTAAAACATATTTTGCTGATAAGATAATCAACCTTTAGTCATGTATAAATCCTCTTCAAACTTTTTAATACATAAAATAATACTTGGTATTTCCTTTTTATTTATAGTAGAATACTTTATCGGGTATCATTCTATGATCTTGAATAAAATCTAACCAACTTTTCCTTATTATCTTGTTCTAGACTTGTTTGAAAAATTCATCGAAATCCTACATCGATTAACATATTTATAAAATTACAGTTGCACATTCACTCGTTGCTACTACTATCATCAGTTTATCAAAATAATCAGATATACTTGATTCACTAGAATCATCTCTTTTTATAATTTTTTAATTCATTTATTTTTCTTTTGTTTTTCATCTTTAGATTTTCTATTATATTTATTTGGATTTTATCTATTTCTTTTATATAGGTAAGTTTTGGGGTACTCCTTTCTTCTAAAATTATTGCTTCTATTTTTTATTTGCCTTTTGTTTGAACGGGATGGAGACAACTTAATAGTTTCATAACCATAAATCTTCCTAATATATTTTTTATTTTATATATTGAAATTGAAAAAAGGTAAAACATATAAATCATAATAATATAAATTCATCCAAAATGTTAAAATTTGGCTAGAAGGTTTTCCGGAAATCCAGAAAACATTCCGGATCAATCAAGAGGATGGAGGAACCTTGGTAAAGGTTCAAGAGGAGTCAAACATGGATCAAGAGGGTCAAATCATTCTCTAGAAGGATTCATACATTTCAAGAGCTTATGTAACTAAATCCTTCTGTAACATCCGTAATTTTTCATATTTTATTTCAAATTAGAATCAACTGGGTTTTATTGGATTTCGTTTGTAATGCCAAGTTATTGTTTGTTTTATGTCTTTACTAAGACCCTATGATGTTTTGGGGGTTTTGGAAGCAAAATTTGGTAAAAATTTGATATTTAAGTGATTTGGGCGACTTTCCTCACGACTTAAGCTGCGGAAAAATCGCCTAAGCTGCTACTTGTTTAGTGCAGCTCAAGAAAAACCATTCAATGGACGAGGCCATATTCGAGGCACCTTAGGGCACATAGGCTAAGCCACCCGGATGCTCAAGATGGGGTGGAAGTGTCGCTTGCTTGAAAAGGCATGCACCGGTTTTAGGCCGGGCGACCTATGCTGCTGCCCCACAGGAAGCCCGAGTTTTTGTTTGCTTAATCAAGTTCCAGGTGTGACCATTTCATTTGTGACCTCCCTCTTTCTTCATTTACTCTCCATACCTCTCCCTTCATTAATTTCAAATAGTTCATTTTAGTGGATTTCTCAAGAGTTGTTGTGCATTAAAGGAGGTCTAGAAGGAAACTTCACGTATGGAACCAAGCATCCAAGTTATTCTTGATTTTCTAAGGTTTCCTTGATTTTCTAGGTCTGTAGTTCATCCTACTCTTTTATATAACCATATACATGTTAAAATGCTTTATTTTAGTTCCGTAAAGTTTTTGTTCAAGTATTTCATATTTGGATGATTATGGATCAACTAGATCAAATTAGAGATTTTTGGGTATTTACGCATTTCGATAAATTAATATGGAAAATGATTTTATATACATTCGGGATGTTTACTTCAAAGTTTGGATGAGTTATGGGAACCAAGTATTCTATATATGGTCTTAACTTGATTTTAATGATAAAATGGGAATTTTACGCATTTAATGGCTAGTGGTTAGGCATGAGAATGGGCCCCGACCCGTCGGGGAACCCGGTCCACCCCCCCGGGTCGGGGATGGGGATTTCCCGCTAAATTGGGGATGGGGACGGGGATCCCCGTTTGTCTCAAACCGGGGACGGGGACGGGTATGGTACTCCTCGCCCCCCTTACCCGTTATATATATATATATATATTAATAAATTATGCGCACACACACATGTATATATGTATATTATTTATTTCAACTAAAGCGGTACTTTATAATTTCTTATTTCTTAACTAGGTCTAGAATCTAAAATTATTACTTTTTGGATGTTAGTATGTAATATTTTGGATGTTAAGTCAAAATACAACTACTCGTCAAGTTTTGTATATTACTTGATATGGTTTTATATTACTCATTATCTTTTGGTACATGTGACTTTATGTTTTTTTTTGGATTAAATTGATTTTTTTTTGGGTTTTAGGTTATTAATTCTTATATGATGTTGTGGTTTTTTTTGTATTAAATTAAATTCATTTTGGTTTTAGGTTTATTGGAAATGTTTGAGATTTTAACATGTATGGCTCCATCCCTGCCCCATGCCCATGCCTACTAGTGGTACACAAATGTTTATATGTCGGGTTTGGTATCCAGAATGATATATATATATATATATATATATATATATATAAGTCTAGAATGCAATGGATCCATAGGCATAAAAATCGATTTTATTTGATATGTTTCGGAGATATTCCTTAGATGTAACTTGAAATAGGCATTGGGTCTTCGTAGGCAATAAAGTGTGGACTCTTGGTGTTGCATCGGACAATGACGAACAAAACGTAATTTCTAAGTGAAATAGCTTAATTTGGATTTTGGGGATCTCAAGGTAAAGACGTAGTGTGGTTGAACTTGGCGACCCCACAAGCAAAAGACTTGAAGTAGTTGATATTGTTAGTTCATTGAACTATAGACCTGGATAGTTGATCTTAGTAATTAATTTTCCATAAATGATGCATCTATAACATTGAATTGTGGCTTATTTATGTGTTCTATTAATGTTAATGGTAAATTGTATCTCCCTCGTCATCATAAGATGCTTTAAGCTCTTCTAAGGGTATGCTCATTTCAGATGCAAGAAATGACTTGATTAAATCTATGGTTTCGGTTTTAATATTTTGTATCTTTATTCTATAATTGTTTTCTCTCACTAGGAGAACAATTTTTCTTAAATGACATGTATATCAGAATCTTTAGACAGTGGAGCTTAAAAGGCTTGAGTGGAGCGATGTTGCCGGTATTGGCATTTTTGGGTTATATTTTTGTGGAGTTACTTTTGATATTGTACCTTTGAGGGTTGTGGTGACACCTAATTGTGTTGATCCTCTCTTTCAGTGATTTGATGATGATCCATTTTATCTATCGAAGTGTATTGTTTCTGTATTCAGTTTCAACGATCTTCACTGAGTCTGTTCAATGATCGCTGAACATGTATTGTAATTCATTCAGAGACCAATATACTTCAAGATGACAAAACTCACACCACCAATCCTTCAGCGATGTCGAAGACAGAAGCTGAAGTAGTTTTTAGTGATAACAAGCTCGTCTACACAAGTGTAAAATCTGCTCAAGATTCAGCAAACACTGATGAGACCTTCAGCTTCAATTCCAGTACTCAGTGATCAAAAGAATCTTGTCGAGCAAGATAGTTTCTGTCTTGTCCTTCTGCACACCAAGGACAAACCCATACCTTTCTAAGTAAAATACAGTACAGAGTCACTCTTTTGACTCCAAACGTGATTACCTACTTTATGAAAGATGACTGTTCATATATAGCCAAAAGGACTGTATACTGTAACAAAAGACAAACTTTCCTCTAAAAGTTTGACGTGCTATGTACCTTCTGAATTGCATTTAATGCAATGGGTATAGACAGCTGAGTAAATCTCTGTTGGTCCCAGCCCGGTCTATAAGAGTTTTAGACGAACAGTTTGTAGAAGGGGGGGGGGGGKGAATACAAACACATAAAACTTTCGTTTTTAAATATATAAGGTTAAATGCATGAAATAACAACCTACTTTCATAATTTTTTTTATTATAACATTCTACTTTTGTTTTTCTTTATTACAACAATGCACTTTCAAATTATTTTTTTATTAAGACATTATACTTTAAAAAATCTACTCATTATAGCAATGGGTAACCTGTTACCTTTTAAACCGGTTAACCCCTTGACTTCTTTGGCTTGTGTGACTTTAATGACTTAACTAAAATAAAAATAAAAACTTATTTCAAATTATTATTAGTGATTTTCATTTTTCATTGCTATGATTTAAAAAAAACATTTAATTTTT